GAGCCGCTGTGTACGACCAGACGGCACGTGGCGCTGGTGCAGCGGCAATGGACCGGAACATCACGTCGCGATGGTGCACGAGCAGACGCCCAACCTCGGAGGCTGCCCCTTCTCCACTTTTTCAAGGGCAGACGCCGCAAGTGCTGCTGCAGCCTCCCTACAGCCTCTACAACGCGCTCGCCATACCCCTCTACGGCTCGCCCGAGCACCGGAAGGTGAGCCTGCGCCACGTGTGCGCCACATGGGAGCCGTGTCGTGCGATGCGGGACTGCTCCGGCGGAAGCTGCAGCGGCTCCGCCACTTCATGTCGGTGGCGCGGCTCGTTCGCATACGCGCTCCAGTCGAATCCCAGGAGGACATCCTGCAACGCCGAATTCGCACAGACAAGATTAATTCAAGTCGCCGGCTGAGCGAGGGCTCGGATCTGGAACAGAGTCGCCGGCAGAGCGAGGGCTCGGATCTGGAACAGAGTCGCCGGCAGAGCGAGGGCTCGGATCTGGAACAGAGTCGCCTGCAGAGCGAGGGCGCGGGTCCGGAACAGAGCACAATTGCGCCTTTAAGGGCCTTCCGGCCGCGGCGCCGCGGCCCGCGGCGCGAGTAGACAGTGGCAGCAGCAGCAGTGGCGGCGGTGATAGCCCCTCTATTCGACATATGTGAGCTGTGAGCTTTGTGGGTCCGCCGCAGGCGCATATTTTGTGTATATACCGAGTCTCGGTGACATATTGTGTGTCGAGTGTGTGCATATAACAAGTGAGTTGAGAGGACTCTACCGCGATGCATTGGTGGTGCATTGGGGAGGGGCGAGCCACACACGACTCGCGAGAGACACACAGGAGCTCACAGGGTCACCAGTGTGCAGTCTGAGGGAGGGGGGTGTAGAGGATGTAGAGTGTAGAGCGCTGTAGAGCTGTAGAGATGTAGAGTGCTGGAGAGCGCTGTAGAGCTGTAGAGCTCTACATCCGCCGCGTGACGAGGCGCCTGCGTTGTAGAGCGATGTAGAGGCGCTCTACAACGTGAAATCTCTACAACAAACTCTACATCATAAGCGGCGAACGAGGCACGGTCGCTCTCCGACATGAGGCGCGTTGCACTTGCCAGTGCTGCCCTGGCCTTCTGTCTACCCGCCCAATGGGTGGCAGGTGCCTCTGCTGCTATGGCATGCCTCACGGCTGCGACTGGCCGGCGCCTCGGCGCGTCAGCTCGGCTCGGCGTAGCGATAGTGGCCAGCGCAACTCGCCTGGACTCAACGCTCAGCCAGGAGCTCCCGCACGCGCTGGCGCGAGTCATGGCGCATGCAACGCGTCTGAATGCTCGCCTCGCCTCGCGCAAATGCGACCGTCCTCGCAGCCGACAGTCCCCACCGCCTGCTAAAGAAGCACAGCGACGAATGCGGCACCGGCGACACATGGCAGGCTGGTCATGACGCAGTTATAGGGTGTTGTGTGCCGTCAGAGGACT